CCATAAAGAAGAACACGATCAAATTCCCAAATATGCAATAGTTGTCTAAAAAATAGACTAATAATTACCTTTGGTTTGGGATACTTGTGTGGCTATTACGCCTCACCGATGAAGTTATAATTGATCTAAAAGGGATTCGGTTTAATCTCTTCTATACATGTTAACATCACCGAGTGACGCTTTGAAAAATAATCTTAGATAGATCCAAACATAATGAATTTCTTTTTATCTCTTATGTATATATGAGTAATACCATGTTAAATAATATTTGATAAGTTAGCATCTTTGATGAATTTCTTATGATCTCTTCTTTATAAGTTAACATTATTGAGTAATACTTCAACAAACAATCTCAGATATGTCAAATTTTTTTAGTGAATTTCTTAAGATCTCTTTTATAGAGGTTAAGTTCATCAAGAATAACACTTCATTAAATAACCACAAATAGGTTAGACATTCTTGATAAATTTTCTTCAGCTTCATACAAATAAGTCAACATCAATAATTACCTCAATAAAATTAATTTAACTCGTCTATCCAATATAACTCAGTTGTTGTTTCGCTTACAATGCTAGATCAATTTCATTTGTATTTCACAATCTAATTATAATAAGCTCTAGCTACTATTCTTTTCTTGGGAGATCTAGACATAAATGAGATTCAAAGAAACTCTTAAGACCTAAAGAACTCTTATGATTCAATATTCCAACTTTTTTAGATAGAGATTAATGACACCATAAGATTATCACTATCATTGATGTTGGTACCCAACACTATCAAACCACCTTATCTTCAGTGTTCCCAAATTGATGTTGGCTAACCTTCATCAACATTGCTATATGGTTCATACTTTTAGATTGCTACCATTATTAAATTACTTCAAGCTGTTAGTGTTTGACCATCATCACATAATTACAATCAACCATTAATATTAATTGATATTATTACATGTCAACATCAATATCGGTGCTCACTAACATCATCATCTGCATCATCCATAAAATTAATGCATACAGGTGATACTTAACTTTGCCAATACACATTGTTGATTCAATTTACTATTTATCAAGCTAGTGTATGTTAGTGCCACATATCGTTGCTTCTTATAATAGCTCAAGAAGGCACGCCCAATAGACAACCATAATGAAAAGCTAATGGTGGGCGTGATCTTCACCAGAAAGACTACAAAAGCAACTGATTTACACTGTCTCTACTCAAAAATCTCAGAAAATTATAAACCCTGAAAGTATATTGAATGTCAAGCAAGACGTATCTTAAATACATAAGAACTAGATCTTTTGAAGGGATAATTTCTAAAAAAATCAATAAAATCTTACATGAAATTAGAAGTTCATTAATTGTCAATATATTATCAAAAACTTAAATTTAGTTGAGCTAATAAAAAAAAAATCCAAGCTAATTCTTATGTGCTAATAAATAAATGAATACTGCCAAAAAAATCAATTCAAAAGCCATCGAAGTCAAAATACTAATGGGGCCCATTCTCCTAATAATTAAAGTGTCTCTTTCTTTGCATTTTGACTAGATTCAGCAAAATCGGTTGGTGGTCGCCAACTCCATTCAATTTTAAGTAGAATCGGTTATCTAAATCTGTCCGTTGATTTAGTAAACAGGTTGTCGCATCCAACGGTCACGATTTCTCTAATGGCAAAACGTCTTGAAATTTGGCTTTAGGAAGCTTCGGCTGATTCAAAGCGTTCACATGGGCCAAGCCCAATTTCTCAGCTGCCCAACCTATCAGTACTGGGGCACACAGTCAAATGATTAAAGTCCTTTTTTGCTTTTATCATAAAATGATGAAAAATTACACACATACCACTCCGTTCTTATGTATTTACATGATTAACCTCAATGTTTACATACATACCACTTATGCATTAAGAAGTTGTTCTTCACTTTTTAAAATTGAAATGTTGTTTTATTTTTAATGTAATATGCAAAATTTAGGCGGTGTAAATGTAAAAACAGAAAAATTATTGGTACATACATACCACTTATGCCCCCGCATGCAGCCAAAAATGTCTTTTTGATTAGCATTCATTTTGCATACAATTTAAAATCCTATCTTAAATTTTATTCAATAAATGTTGCAACATACAAAAAATATAGGGGCATTTACGTAAACACCTCCCTGATTCCTATATATTTACAAATTATCTAAATTTCATATTTTTTTTAATATTTCTACCACCCAAAGTATGTGTATAACATAAAAATTACTATTTTGACTTTTAAATATGAAATACACCTAAAATATGTGAATGAACCATTAGAGCACTCGATGAACATCTTGAACTCGGCTTGATCATGTTGCTCAAAATAGTAAATAAGTAAATTTGAATATTTGTTTTTAAACTTGAATGTTAAATTAATGAATCAAATTTGAATATAGTCTGACTCCTTTATTAATATTAATGACCAAACTAATTTTTAATCCAACAAAGAACTTCTTAAATTCTTTATATACTTATATTGTATATTATTTCAATAAAATTTAATTAATAGAACTTTTTTATTATATATTTAATACTAATATATTATTATATAATATCAAATATGTATATAAATTCAATGCAATTTTTATTTTACTTTTTTATTTCAATGAACTCGTTTATTAGTACTTATTTAAGTTATTTGATTGCTAGAAAGTTTATTTATAATTTATATAATATTCTATTTACTCTATATATGATAATTGTAATTAGTACTTGCTTCCAATGAACTCGTTTATTAGTACTTGTTTCAATAGTGTAGATATTATTTTCTTAATGTCTCATGCAGGAGAGAAATAAGGCTTTTTTTTGAGGGATGACAAACTGCATTTTTAGACTCAACGTGAGAGAGACTAATGCAACGAAAGACAAGATGATATTTCATGAGGGATAAAAATGATATTTCAGTATGGGCAAAAAACAAAATTGTCCTCTCATACAAATAAAAATCTGAATTTGAGGGGGAGACTACCATGGTCCACCCCTAGTTACAAGCAATAATAATAATAAAAAAAATAATAATCCAATAATATGTTTTTCATTCAATCACGCATCTAACTAATTCATGCAATACAATACTTGTAATAATTCTTAATTTCAATGTTTGACAACTTTAATTACATAGTTTGATTATTTAAAACATTCATGTAAGAAAAGAACAAAATGGTGGAAGAAAACATAATGTTTGAATGAGCTATGAGTAGACTACTTCCTGCAGGGGATGAATAAACTCGTTAAAGTCCATAGGGTTTGTGTAATTAATTATTTGTTAAAACAAGGTTAGCCACCAAATCCTCCATCTGCGTAGTAATCATTAAGAGTTAATCTGAACAAATTTTATTAATGAAAAATAATCATTATTTCTGCTGGTAGCTGGCCATATTGAAGCTTCGCGCAACGTTTTGCTTGATTCGTTAGTCTTTAATTCTCCGGTTATTAATTATGATTTGAGGTAATGAGCTGATCATCTAAATAACATTAATTTAATTAGAACTTTGCAATACATAATTATACTAATTTGGGATTTCTAAAGTGATATTAACGTGCACAAGTTTATAATTTTCTTATAGTGAAATCGTCTATCTTACTTAAATAAGAATTATTCAATTCACAGTACACTCATGTGTGATATCATTCTTTTACGAAGACCGATGGTTATTTTTCGAGTTTTCTCCCTAAAAGAGAATTGATATTGAAGAAAACTTCAATAAAATTTTAAAACTCTAATGTTTGTCATTACATGGTCATCATGCGACTAAAATTACACAATCTTTGTTACATTTTACATCAGAATCATGATGCCGATTCAAATTAATAAGAATGTCACCAAAAACATCGGCACATACTAATATCTCTAATAAAATCATCTCACATTGTTAACTCTAACATTGATGTCAGTCTACTAATATCGATCCACAGGCTTATTAATAAAATTCATCCATGTCATCAACATCAACATTAATGCATGTTACAAACATCATGGCCATTGCAAGCTATTATAGCTCATGCATGTTGTTGGCACCAATGCCGATGCACGTAATAGCACCATCACCAATATGATCTACCTTTATCATGGACATCAATGACAACTAAAGACATTTCCAACAAAACATGTACATGTTATGGATATAACTCCCCATCATTAGCAAAGACCAACATCTATACATATTATTATCCACCAAACAACCTTGTAACTTGATATGATAGAACAAATGAAAGAAAGGTTTCTAATTTTAATTAGCCCAATCACCTAATCCTCTCAAGATAATATGATGATTAGTTGATATGGTCCAGATTTAAATCTAAGCAGAAACGAATATATTTCTCCTTTTAATAGTGCAAATTGTTCACTCAGATCTCGTAATAGAGTAAATTAGAGCCATTATTAGCCATTTAGAATTGGACGCTGCGAAAAGCATTTAATAACTGCATATCGCACATGGGTTCCGTGCCGGGGAGCAAAAGGTGTTCACGTAACTTAATTCTTTTGTTATTATTATTTTTTTTTTTTGAAAAAAAAAACAAAAAATCAATAATTAGGATGAATCATTTGACCATATTTTGCATTTATTTCTATCGCCGGGGAAATAATCCGAGAAAACAATTATATCAGAATTACAAAATGAGTTAGTTTTTCTAAAATAAATATAAATTAATATTTTAATTATATTCAAGTAAAATAAAAAATAATCATAAATAAATAATATTTTCTTATAAATTATAATTAGAGTAATTTTTTTCTTTAACCATAAGGCCTTTCTGACTGTCTATTATTATTATTTGCAGAGCAAAACACTATATATTTTTATACTATATTTTTTTTTTGGAGATTTTTACTTTTATTTTAGGGCAATATACTTATGCATAGTCATTGACTTCCTAAGGGAAGAATAATTAATTAAATAAATAAATAATTAATTAATTAAATCAAATAATAACGCGTTAATCAATGTAAATATGAATTTTAGAGCTCACCTACCGCTCTTTCTTTCCCCAAAGCTCACTTCTTCAATAATATAAGCAGCGTGATCCCAACCCCTGTTCCATCCTCCGCTAAAACCAGTAGAGAGAGGAACTCACATTTATGTGAAGAAGCAGAGAGAGAGAGAAAGAGGGAGAGGAACAATGGATAGGGTATGGGATTCAGGGAAAAGAGCGAGTTTGCGGATGAGCAGAAGCATCAGCAGGGGAATGAATATAGAGAACTGGGGATTAGACGAAGCTTTCGCAAGAACCAGCACTGCTTCATCGAGACGCCGCATCGACGACGACGAGGAGGCTCTCCGATGGGCAGCCATAGAACGACTTCCCACCTACAATCGAGTTCGCGTCGGAATCCTCAAGTCCTTCACTGAAGAAGGCGGCGCCGCCGCCAGAGTTGATGGAGGCGATAGAGATAAACAGCAGAGGTTGGTGCATAAGGAGGTGGACGTGAGAAAGCTCACCGTCGACGAGCGCCAGCAGTTCATACACCGTGTTTTTAAAGTTGCAGAAGAAGATAACGAGCGTTTCCTCACCAAATTCAGAAATCGGATTGACAAGTACTCTGCTTTTCTTCTTATTCTTCTTTCAAATTTGCATTTTAATTTATTATGCAACATGTGCATAGTTCTAAAAATATAATTTTGACTAAAAAGATAGAATTTTGAGAGAATATTAAGTTTGGTCATCCTTACAAGCAAATTATCCATAAATAATATTTTTTTAAAGAAATTTAACTATAGATGACTAAGCAAGTAATGAGAAGAAATTTGTTTGGATAAAGTTAAAAAGTTATAGGTATGATTTAGATAACTTTGATTAATTGTTCATGTGCTATATTCATCTCAAATACCGACGTAATGAAGTATTTTAATACTCATCTTGATGAAGTATTTGATGAAGATATCATTGTCAATGTTTTCTCAAAAGGCATATTTTGAGATGAACAATACATAAATTTTGCTTATTTCTTTTTTAAATATGACATAAATTTAATAATTTAAGACTGATTTTGAGTGGGTGCAAGTAAATTAAATAATATTGATATAATAACTAAATTAAACAGCTCTTATGAAAATATCATCACCTAAAAATCTTTTTTTTTTTAATCTAAATCACAATCCATAATCTATTTGTAGAATTCTTCTTCCAATTTTCTAAATTTATAACTTCAGATAAGTCGCTTGAGTTGACCAGTTCCTTAATACAAGAAAAAACTTGTTGTAACAGGGTCGGAATTCAGCTGCCCACTGTGGAGGTCCGGTTCGAGAGCCTGAGGATAGAGGCAAAGTGCCACGTGGGCAACCGGGCCCTACCAACGCTCGCCAACTCAGCACGGAACATGTTCGAATCAGCCCTCAAAGCCGTAGGCATCCGACTAAGCAAGCGCGCTACTCTCACCATCCTCAAAGACGTCTCCGGCGTCATCAAACCCTCTAGGTCATTTCACCAAACACTTTGTCGGCAACCCAAAACTCCTCTTTCCTTACCCTCTTTTATCAAAATTCTAACTTTTTGGTTGCAGGATGACGCTCTTATTGGGTCCACCGGGTTCGGGGAAGACGACTCTTTTACTGGCTCTAGCTGGGAAGCTTGACCAAACTCTTAAGGTTGGATTAGTTTGACAAAAAAACGTGATTAGTTTCGTTAATTAATTAAAATAATTACGTGGTTGGTATTGGTAGGCTAGCGGTGAGATTACCTACAACGGTTACCGGCTGGATGAGTTCGTGCCGGTGAAGACGGCGGCATACATCAGCCAAAATGATGTCCACATCGGAGTGATGACCGTCAAAGAGACACTGGACTTCTCTGCCAGGTGTCAAGGCGTGGGAGCTCGATATGGTACGATTAAATTATCACTATTTTAAAATTAATTATTTGTTTAATTATGTTGAGATTAAGGGTTAATTATACTTAATATGGGGATTCAGATCTGCAAATGGAACTGCTGAGGCGAGAGAAAGTGGCGGGCATATTTCCAGAAGCGGAAGTTGACCTCTTTATGAAGGTATTGTTAATTTGTGATTATACTAATCATAATTTAATGGGATGACTAATGATTTTTTAACTGAGGTTTTAAGCTGTTAATATGTTTTAGGCGACGTCGATGGAAGGGGTGAAGAGTAGCCTCCAAACGGACTACACCTTACGGGTATGCCCGCCTCCGATTAATTTAGAGTATTAGTCTGTTAATTGCATTCATTAGCCTTTTAATTACGAAACTTTTGCATTTAACAAATTATTATTATTATTATTATTGATAAGATTTACATAATACAGCTCAATTCTCATGTATTGAAGTGATAAGAAAAATTTAGATGATTTAAATATTATATAGTAAATTTTAGTGGTTAGATATGTAAATACATAGGGATGGGTGTGGTGTGCATGTAAATTTAAATGTCCCTTAATATTATTTTTAGGGTAGCACCTGAAACATGTATGGATGTAGATGTTTATTAAATTTTCAAATTTGATTTTCTCCATCAATTATTAGAGGGATTTACACAGATTTCTTAAAATATTGCCAAGTGGACTTTAACCCTAAGTAGTACTGGTCTTGGGTTGGTGGAGTTGACCAAAACCGCCACCAACTCCTGTGCTGGAGTCAGTGAGGTTGGCGAACGCCTACGCCTTTCCCACGTCTTAGTGACGTTCGTTAGGTGTTTGTTATTTTGTCCCAATCAGAGTGCGTTTCTGGGCAATAATGTTTCATACGCTTGTATTTCTAGATGACAATTATTTTATTATTTTGCTGAAGTAAAGCATTTAATTACTTAATTATTTATTTCTATAATTAGAATTGTCGGATAAGTTTGGTTCAAAATAGATTTGATTAGTACATCCTGATGTACATACAACAGGAAGGGTTATGTAGCTAAAATTGAATTTAGTCAGTTTTGTAAATTCAGATTTTATATATTTTGAGGAGAAAATATTACATCAAGACTGTCACGTGTACAGTGTGAGTCTCCTTAGTAAAAAAAACTAAATAATTTAATAATAGGTGGGTCTATATTGTACATGTGGCAGACAATGATTGGAGTTTTGATATATTTTTGAATCAAAACTCCTGATGTAATATTTTTTCTATTTATTTTGTGAGATTTAAAATTTGAAAAATGTGGGGCATAATAAATTTTAGATCTTTCAAATTCCTAATAAATTATCAGAATATTTTTTTCATATTTAAGATTTATAAAAAGATTTTTTTTAATACGAATGACATAATTTAATATAACCTCAATTTAAGCAATCATGAAGTTGAAAAATAGATTTGTTAGCAAAATTAGAGCTGTTTGGCGGCCTAATTTTAAAATTCTGGTAAATTTCTATGTTTTATAATCCCAAATCATAATTTAATAAAACACCAATTTACATCCTTATTTGTATAAAAAAAAAACAAATTCAAGTGACCCTTGTAAACTTGAATTCGAGCCGGAGCTTAATTTCTGTAATATATATGCAGCTACTTGGACTGGATATCTGTGCTGATACCATAGTTGGAGATGAGATGCAGAGGGGGATTTCTGGTGGTCAGAAGAAGCGCGTCACCACTGGTTTGTCTTCTCTTCTTCAACGTCACTAATTATTTATATACATCCAACCTTGGATATCCATGAAAAAGGCAAATATCAGTTTATAAAAAAGTTAAATTTGAAAAAAATAAAGTTTTTGAATGCTAGATATGCATGTAAAATGTTCAGCATTTCAGACTACTAACATCGAATTAACTGCAGGGGAGATGATCGTCGGACCAACAAAAACATTGTTCATGGATGAAATATCAACAGGACTCGATAGTTCTACCACTTACCAAATTGTAAAATGCCTGCAACAAATCGTCCATTTAGAAGATGCCACCATCCTCATGTCCCTCCTCCAACCCGCACCAGAGACCTTCGATCTCTTCGACGACATTATCCTCCTCAGCGAAGGCAAGATAGTCTACCAAGGTCCACGAGAATTCGTCCTCGAGTTCTTCGAATCATGCGGTTTTCGTTGTCCGGAGAGGAAGGGAACTGCAGATTTTCTACAGGAGGTCACGTCTCGTAAAGACCAAGCACAGTATTGGTACGACACTAATCGGCCATACCAGTATGTTACAGTGTCGGAGTTTGTTCAGCATTTCCGTCGCTTTCACGTCGGCTTACGTCTGGAAAGTGAGCTCTCCACGCCTTTTGACAAGAGCAACTGCCACCGCGCCGCGCTTGTGTTTGAGAAAAATCCTGTGCCTTACTCTGATCTCCTCCGGGCCTCCTTTGCCAGAGAATGGCTGCTCATTAGGCGTAATTCTTTCGTATACATCTTCAAGACAGTACAGGTTTGTCTTCTGTGCTGCAATGTCGCTCGATTTCGTGAACGACAATGCTTTACTGAAAATAGTTTTTTTTTTTTTTTTTTTTTTTTTTTTTTTTTGCTTTGGTGCTGAAGATCATTTTGACGGCCATGGTCGCATCGACGGTGTTCTTGAGAACGAGAATGCACAGAAACAGTGTGGAAGATGGAAGTGTGTATATTGGTGCCCTTCTGTTCAGTCTGCTTGTGAATATGTTCAATGGGTTTGCAGAGCTGTCGATAACCATTGGAAGGCTGCCGGTTTTCTTCAAGCAGAGGGATTTGCTCTTCTATCCTGCTTGGGTTTTCACTCTTCCGAATTTTCTGCTTACGATCCCAATGTCTGTGGTTGAATCTGTTGCGTGGCTTGTCACCACTTACTACGCCATAGGCTTTGCACCAGACGCTAGCAGGTGAGATGTTGCTGTTTTTAGATTGTGGATGTTGTGGATTGGATTAGTTGTGTTTCTTAACGTTTAGTTTTGTTCTACAGATTCTTCAGGCAGCTGCTGTTGGTGTTCTTGATACAGCAGATGGCTGCAGGGCTGTTTAGAGTGACTGCAGGGGTGTGCAGATCAATGATAATTTCAAACACCGGAGGAGCTCTCACTCTCCTCTCCATGTTTGTTCTTGGGGGCTTCATTCTACCCAAAGGTTCTTTCTTTTTTAATTTGTTTTTAAAATTCGTCTTTTTTTTCATTAGATTTTTATTTATTTTTTGTTTGTTTGTGCCTTCATGAGTTTCTCTCTTATGTAGCTCTTTTTTTTTTTTGGATTATAGGTGTAATACCACATTGGTGGATATGGGGATATTGGATTTCACCATTAACATACGGATATAATGCTTTAGCTGTCAATGAATTTCTGGCTCCAAGATGGATGAACAAATTTGTAAGTGATCTCACCTGATATTATTTGAGTGATCATATAATGAAATGGAATCCATTTTATTGTTAATAATATCAGGACTAATAACTTATTTGCTAATAAGGGTGATAAACAAACTTACAGGTAACTGAAGCAGATGGCACTGTTAAAAGACTGGGAATTGCAATCCTTGAAAATTCATCTGTTTTCCCAGAAAAGAAATGGTACTGGATTGGGGCTGCCGGACTTTTTGGATTTGCTATACTGTTCAATGTGCTTTTCACCCTTGCATTATCATATTTTAGTCGTAAGTTGACCTTTGTTCTCTGATTGACCCTTCCAAATTGTGCTTAAGTTCAGCTCCGTTCTCATATTTTAACTTTTAATTTTGCTGGATGTCAGCTCTTGGAAAACCACAAGCTACAATATCTGATGAATCAGAAGAAAATATGGAAATTAGTTTTGATGAAAGCAAGGGAATTTCAAAAGAAAGAATGTTGGGTGCTGCTAATGGAGCTGCTACAAGTAAAGATATTATTACTTAGTTTCTGATCATGATCCAGACAATATCTGAAATTTATTTGCTTTTAGTGTGATATCTTCCATCTCCTTATTTCAGGAGAAATGATGGACCTGAATAGGAGTCGTAATTCATCTACTGGCCTCCATGAACTTGAAAAGGGGCCATCCATTGGTGAAGCCAGAGGGATTGCTCCTAAGAGAGGAATGGTTCTTCCTTTCACACCATTAGCAATGTCTTTTGATGAAGTAAATTACTATGTCGATATGCCTCCGGTGAGCCTCATCTCCATTCTTCTCTTCTAAATTGCTGGAATATTTTTATTCTTTTCTTCCTCAAAATTAATTACCAGCCTTAATCATCAGAAATGCAATACCAATGCAGAACTTGACATTCATTTTCTTGTCCTTCCAGGAAATGAAGGATCAAGGAGTAACAGATGATAGGCTCCAGTTGTTAAGGGGTGTGACAGGAGCTTTCCGTCCTGGAATCTTAACAGCCCTTATGGGAGTGAGTGGAGCTGGAAAGACTACACTTATGGATGTTTTAGCAGGAAGAAAGACTGGTGGTTACATCGAAGGCGACATTAGAATCTCTGGTTACCCCAAAATACAGGAAACTTTTGCTAGAGTTTCTGGTTATTGTGAACAAAATGATATCCATTCTCCTCAAGTTACTGTGAGAGAGTCATTGATTTACTCTGCTTTCCTCCGTCTTCCCAAGGAAGTAAACGATGAAGAAAAGATGGTGAGCATCCATACTACAAGAATTTCTCTGTAATATTTGACGAGAAATATTGCCATCAATTTGATTGATTTCTTCTTTTTTTTCTCTTTGATAGTCTAATTTGTGATTTGATAATCTTAATGCTTTTTTCTCTCTTTAGAAATTTGTGGATGAGGTTATGGAGTTGGTGGAGCTTAACAAACTCAAGGATGCCATTGTTGGGCTTCCAGGAGTCACAGGGTTGTCAACGGAGCAGCGAAAGAGGTTGACGATAGCTGTAGAGCTGGTTGCTAATCCTTCCATAATCTTCATGGATGAACCTACTTCAGGCTTAGATGCAAGAGCTGCAGCCATTGTTATGAGAACTGTGAGAAACACAGTTGATACTGGAAGAACAGTCGTTTGTACAATTCATCAACCTAGTATTGACATTTTTGAAGCATTTGATGAGGTAACAAATTCAACAACATCTTGTTATATTTTTCTTCCTATAATTCTCTAGTAAATATGCTGCTTAAATATTTTTGAGAAATAAATTAATGAATTTTTAGAAGTATTTTTTTTTCATATACAAAAATATTTTCAATTTTCATTTGAAAATACTCTTTGCTTTGTGCAGTTGTTACTTATGAAGAGAGGAGGTCAGGTTATATACTATGGACCCTTGGGCCGCAATTCTGAAAAGATGATTGAATATTTTGAGGTGCGTTGATTAAATTATTTATACATTTGTTCTTTTCATATCCTGAATGAGGCTTGTTGGCTATGCAATTACACCAAAATTAGCACAGCAAACTGATTTCCAATCGTCTTCATGACATTCTTTACTACACTTCCCTTTTTTTGCTCATCATTTTTCATATTTCTACTTCTCTCTAAATATAATCTCCTGTTACATGAAATTTGCATTGAAAAATACAACCAAAAATGCTTAGAGATTGTAGAAGTAAAAACTTTAAAATTCATGCTTTCAGGCAATTTCTGGAGTTCCAAAAATCAAGGACAAATACAATCCTGCGACATGGATGCTGGAAGTAAGTTCCATTGCTGCTGAATCACGCCTTGGAATTGATTTTGCCCAGTACTACAAAACATCAACTTTGTACCAGTAAGCGAAAATCTTCTTCTAGTTACAGAAATTTCTTAAACCAGATCCTGAAGAAAACTCCACCAGATGTATGATTATCTGTTGCTAATTGTTGGTTCAACTATGACAGGAGAAATAAAACACTGGTTAATGATCTTAGTAAGCCAGATCCAGGCTCAAGTGATCTCCATTTCTCCACAGCATATTCTCAATCTTTATATGGGCAGTTCAAATCCTGTCTTTGGAAGCAGTGGTGGACTTACTGGAGGAGTCCTGACTACAACCTCGTCAGATTTTGCTTTACTTTGTTTACTGCTCTACTTCTAGGAAGCATCTTTTGGAAGGTTGGAAATAGGAGGTATATATTTGTTTCAACACCCCCAATGTTCATCAATCATCAAAAATATTTTTTAAACTTCTGGTTTTGTGCAGAGATGATGCTAGTGATCTTCGCATCGTGATTGGAGCAATGTATGCAGCAGTTTTATTCGTTGGCATCAACAACTGCTCAACTGTGCAACCAGTCGTGTCAGTCGAGAGGACTGTGTTCTATCGAGAACGAGCTGCGGGAATGTACTCTGCCATGCCTTACGCTATCGCTCAAGTGAGTAAATCAAGAGTTTTTAGCTTAAATTAAGTGCCACATATCAGATCAGGCTCTATCAACATATTGACATAACATTATTCAGTTTACATTCTAACATCAACATGTAGGCATAATACTAATCAAATTACATTCTAACAAAACAAATTTTATGCAGGTTGTGGTAGAAATTCCTTACGTCCTTATCCAGGCTGCATATTACACACTCATAGTGTACTCCATGATGAACTTTCAATGGACGGCTTCAAAGTTTTTTTGGTTTTATTTCATATCTTTCTTCTCCTTCCTCTACTTCACCTACTATGGGATGATGACCGTGTCTATCTCACCAAATCATCAAGTTGCTGCCATTTTCGCTGCGACATTTTACTCTCTCTTCAATCTTTTCTCTGGCTTTTTCATTCCAAAACCTGTAAGTTGCCGCTAGAAAATGATAATTTGCATTTGCAAACACAAACAAATTTCTTCCTAGCAACATATTAACATCATTCATTTGTCTAATGATGCAGAAAATTCCCAAGTGGTGGATCTGGTATTACTGGATTTGCCCTGTGGCGTGGACAGTTTACGGATTAATAACCACCCAATATGGCGATTTGGATCACGAAATCCGAGTTCCGGGGCAGGGTCTACAATCAATTAAAACGTATGTTAAAGACCACTATGGTTATCACACAGACTTCATGCCTGCTGTGGCTGTTGTGTTGGTGGGTTTCTGTGTGTTCTTTGCCTTCACCTTCGCTTTCTGCATCAGAACTTTAAACTTCCAGCAGAGGTAAAAGCAAAGAGATGTAGAGATCATGTGCTGGAATTTTGTATACTTTTCATTTATCACTTTCTTTTTTTTTTAATTTACTTTATAAATTTGCTGTAAATATACATATAGAACGAAGCAGATAGTTTCAATATCTTGGATTTTATTGAAATTAGCAAGACGTGACGCAAAATTGTTGTTGTTAACTTTGAAATTTAAAACGATCGACGACGAAGTGAAAAAAATAAAATGACACGAGAAAAAATCACACCAGAAAAGAACACACAGATTTACGTGGTTCGGCAAATTGCCTACATCCACGGAGTTGCAGAGGATTTTACTAATTGAGGAATTTATACCGTTTGAACACAATAATAATTGCAGGAGAAAGTCTCACTTTCTCACTCTCTTCTTTTCTCTACACCGAGATACACCAAAGAGCACACCTTGCGATTCTATTGATTCGTATCTTTCAGCCCGTAAGTCTTCTTCCCCGTGCTTTGCGATACTTCCTTCACCAGCAAACCAACGCAGAACAGAGGAAGAATAAGGGAGAGCCGAATCTTGCTTTTCTTTTCACTTGAAGTTCTTGCTATCGTTTCCTCTAATGCAATCGCTAGTCCTCTCTTCTCCTTTATCGCGAATCGACAGAGCGGGCTCCAAATTCGTGAACACAGACGAAGGCGGGAGAAGCGGGAGAGCGGGAGAGCGGGAGAGCGGGAGGGCGGGGGAGAGGG